AGACCCAATCAAGTGGCAGTAAATCATTTCGCAACCTCGCTTGTTACTTCTTTGGGATTGCTGATCAGAAGACTAGCCAGCCTAGTATAGGTGGTCCTCGGCCCACTCCAGACCCCCGGGCTCGAGCACCTGATCCAATCTCATTCCAAGAAGTATCACAGATTTGTAGCTCCCCTACCGCATGTTGGGCCATATTGCCCCACAACCCTGAAGCGGTATTATCCCGGGCCCGAATTGCGGTACCGTCCGCAAAGGCAGGCGGAGAATTCGAACAAAGGGTATTCTCACAGCAACAGCTCTGCTATCGGGAAGATGCGGAGGGGAGGGGGGGTGTGATGGGAAGGGAAGGAATGGGGTTAAGTAAAGCTGAATTATAAAAGAAATTGGCGGGGGGGTGTTGTGATGCGACGAAAAAATTGTAGAAAAAAAGGGAACAAGCTGAGCGATAGCCGAATGTGAGCCTCAAACGGGTTTAAGGCGGCCCGATGCCTAGAAACTTTCCCTGAGCCCTTCCCCCACGTCTGACGGGCAGAACTGACTGGCTAGATGACAACTGACAAGGCAAAGTCAATAAAGAACCAAGGAAGGGAGGAAAGAAAGAAAGAAAGAGAACCCTTCTTACCGAATTCCCTTGGGCTCAGTGAGTCAGTTGCTTTTTTTGTCCTCTCCTTCCTTTACTGCTGCCCTCTACCACTGCCACTCCCACAGTTACAGCAACAATGGCAAACCCAACTTATAGCGGAGGAGAGGAGAAGGATGAGGGGAGAGCGAGAGGAGGAATCTACAGTATTATACTAACTTAGAGGGGTGGTAGAGGAAGAGGGAGAAGGGGAAAGAGGAGGAGATGATTATTTGGGTTACCGGTGGATCATCACTCGGCTGTCAGACAAACAGCTGAACAAATTTCTTATTATCTCTTAATCATCTTCTCTACACCTTTCCTCCTTCTTTTTCACCATTCTCACTACTTCAATGATTTTTTCACTATCCTTTTCATTCAAGGAGAAAAAGAGTGAAGAAAAAAAAAAAAAAGAGCTCAAACACTTTCTTCCTTATGTCGATGTCGCCCCGAGATCAATCCTGCATAGGGATGCCGGTCGCAAGTTGCGCTGGGTCATGGATAGCGCCTGGGCTTTCCTTTGTTGGTTTAGACGGGTCACAAATTTCAAGTCTGTCTAAAACTTAGCACAACTCTTCCCAAATCTTTTTCGCAAAGTGCGGTGCTAAAGTTCAAGTATCAATGAATCTATCGTACCTTTACCCGTATCTACTTTACCCAAACCGCGAACATACCAAATATTGAAGAGTGCCCCCTAGCGTATCGTTATGGTGCAAAATCACCCAAACTCAGTCCTCCATCACTCGGCTTCGTGCTACCAAAAAATATTTATCATACGCCTATCACACATCCCCCCCCCCTCAATCACCGTGCAAAAAAAAAGGGCACAACCCCCCCCAACTGTTAAACACCTCCCGCATGAGAGGGATCCCAGTTGGTCGATCCAACAGCAACAACCGACACATCTCCGGCAAATACCTTCTCCAAGCAGCTCACTTTTCCCCCTCCCTCCTGGTCTCTCTCCCTTCCAACTTCTGTCTCTTGTCCTTTCGTGCCCCCTCGTGCGGCTATCCGCTACATTGCACAAAACCCATCATGTGGCTATCCGTTGAAAATCTGATCCGAAAGGGAGGATATAACCCTCCGTTGGGGGTTCGTATTTGACCCCCTGTGTGGCTAACACGGCTCCTGCATTGCTTGCTTCTCCTGGCGGCCGACGGACGAACGAATGGCGCTGTAGTTAATTTGATTGTTTATTTGCACCATCCAGCAGAAGAACGGGTTATTGAATTGCTAATAGACCTGCATACCACACGAGTGCAGTCTTTTTTTTTTATTAAATCAAAACTTCGTCAATCAATGGTCTGTGTCGTTGCTATAACTGTCGAATTCGATGACCGGTGATGGTTGCCTCTCCCCTAACCCGCCATCGATAGGGTTTTCGTACTACCCGGGCCCGTCGCAATTCAATTTGCTCCCAACTATGATGGTTCTCCGGTTTCCTCTAAGAGTAGCACATTTAGGGTTACTCCCTTACCAACGTAAGTAATTGACCGGAGATCGCCACGTCCAAACCTTGAGTAACTTTGCTGCACTGGGCTATGAATATGACAATATCGTGATGACACTACCTACGCTCCTCATGCCGCTCACCCCCCACCCACCTCTTCCTTTGCATATTACAAAATCGAGTCGAATCATCAGTGGCTAGGCCCA